TCAAATCATTTATATATATGTAAATCAAATCATTTATATATATATATATATAAATCAAAATGATTCAGAACTGTTCCCAGAAGTTATAGTAGCTTCTAGGTAATAATTCATTGTGGAAAAACACACTTCTTGCCACACGAAGATGGTTTTTTTTTTTAATAATTTTATTGAAATTTAAACAGAGATTAGAAGACTATCTTTCCCATGACGTAGCAAGCCGGCTTCCGGCAAAAGAACAGCAGAAATGGGGGTGTGATGGAAAGAGACATCTCTGGTGGTGTCTCCAAGAATCAGCCCATCCACTCCTGTCTCTGGGAGCGACCCAGCCCCTCGCCTCAGCAGTGAGCACTGGCCAGCCACGTTCGCACGGTCAGATCTTGTCCCCCAGTCACACTGCATTGAACTTGAATGGATACCTGCTCCATGTTTGGCCCATCATATTTGGTTTTTGCAACAATTTAAAATTGTGTCCAGGAGACACGCGTCTCAGTTTCTGCAGGTCACTAGGAGCAGGGGTGATAAAACTCAGCAGCCACAGGACAGGTATGAACTGAATCAGAGAGGCCACCAAGGCTGAAGAACGTGACAAATGCAGTGGTTCTCAACCTTGACCCTTGCATACAGGTCCTCATTGTGCTAGTCTGGGTCCTCTAGAGAAACAAATCCACAGAGACTCATGTAGAAGAGAGTTTTTTGTGGTGACCCCCCCCAGCCCTAAAATTATTTTCGTTGCTACTTCATCCCTGTCATTTTGCTACTGTTATAAATCAGGCGACCCCTGTGAAAGGGTCGCTTGGCCCCCAAAGGGGTTCGACCCACAGGTTGAGAGCCACTGCTCTAAAGAAAGACCATGTGGGTGTTACAAGGGACAGGACCCGTTATATCCCATTTAGGTCAACTTGGAACTCATGAGATAAATTTCATGAAATTCATGTGAATTGGTCCATTCCAAAGTAACACACAAAGGGCCTGAGCTGAGGAGTGAAATAAAGGCAAATCGCACAGCTACACAGCAGGAGGATTGTCAATCTCCCCACCCACATGGTCATCTCCCCAAGTTCCTTCTCCAGCTTCAGCATCCTCATACCTGGGAGAATTGGCCAAAACCTGACAACAGAGATACAGTACAGATGCCTGTAGGCAGTCTACTGCTCCTAGCCAGAGCTTTGGGGAGAGCAAGAAAGTGTGTGTGTGTGTGTGTGTGTGTGTGTGTGTGTGTGTGTGTGTGATGGGAAGCAAAAGGTGGTTGGTGTCCCACAAAGTCCTGGAGGAGCATAGGAGCCCCAAAGTAAGGGGTCTATAAGACAGAGGCTGCCCCCATTAGCAGTCAGTATAATGAGGGTGTGCTTGGTAGACGGGGTCACCGAGCATGCAAGGGCTGTCAGAGCGTGCCAGGAATCCATCCGGCGTGTCCACAATCCACTTCTTTCAGAAGGGTCATTACCTAAAGTAACAGAGACCATAGGACCAACGCGGTTCAAGCCCACAACTCGACACTGCTGTTTCCGAGCAACCCAACACTTTCCCTAAAACCTCCCTCCCTCACCTCACCGCTGAGCCTTTACTTTCTGTCCGCTCTTGGCTAAAAGAGGTCACTGGTTGACACAAATGGTTTGTTCTTAAAAGTGAGGAGTTCAAACCCACCCAGCTGTTCTGTGGAAGAAAGACCTGGTGATCTGCTTCCAAAAAGATGACGGCGCAGAAAATCATGCAGAGCAGTTGTACCCTGTAACCACGGGTCAGTTATACTCCTTAACCATGGGTCAGCTGTACTCTGTAACCATGGGTCAGTTGTACTCTTTAACCATAGGTCAATTGTACTCTGTAACCA